GGTTTCTGTCTTCTGCCATCCATGAACTGTTTCTCCTACTCCATGCCCCACTGCCATGCCACCTGGCCTTGCAGCCAGCTAACTCTGAACTAAAACCTCTGCAGACTGTGAACCAAAATAAACCTTTCCTCCTTTAGCTTTGGTTGTCAGGTATTTTGACTAAGTAATGAGAAAAAGAAACTAATATACCCTCCTTTGCCCTCCCTCCCTGTCTTGGTCCTCTTTTCATTTGCAAAACATATCCCCCTGTTTCCTATTAGCTATCTTTTATTTTTCTATTTGATTTACTTATACTTTAAGTTTCTCATATAAGAGAAACAATGCAGTACTTCTCTTAACATTATAGTCTCAAGTTGGATCCCTTTTTCCTACAAATGACTCAAATTTATCCTTTATAGCAGAGTGATACTTTATTGTGTGTAAAGAACACATTGCTCCCTTAATTTGGGTGCCAGGTATTTTGTCTAAGCAATGAGAAAAGTAACTAAGACAGAATTTGGTACCACAAACGTCAGCTCATTGCTGTGACTGTACCTAATCATGTGGTTTTGGAGTTGGCATGTGGGAAGGAGAAGGATTAGGAAAGGTTTAGAGATGACAGCTGAAAAAATAAAGCTGGAATGTCTGAGGCTGTACTTGATGGGACGTTTTTATCTGAGCTCAGAAGAACAGAATGCTGATAGAAATTCTGCTGGTAAAGACCAGGTCTCTGAGAAAAGAAGGACTGCGGTAAAAGTTGGACTCTGACAGAAGAAATATCAAGGCAGTCTCATATTGGTGTGGTGGCATGGATACTGTTGAGGGATTTTAGCCAGATTTATGTTGAGAAGCAAGAGCAGAGCCCAGGAGAATGATTTAAAATATTTTGAGTTTAGCCAGAAAGGAAGCTCTAATGAAATTTGTGCCTACAAAGATGGAACAAAGAGGAAATTGGTCACTGAAAAGACTAACAAGAAAAAAAATCAAGTATTTCAGAAGAAGACAACAGAAAAGATGGCCTAAGGACATCAGAAGAATCAACAGAGCTCCAGCCTCTGCAACCTCAGAGTTGCAAAGGTGAAAGACTTTGCTTTGAGAAGATAGCACTAGAGCATCATGTTCTAGAACGGCAGTAGCCTGGGGAAGTTTTTCCTCAGAATTTGGTTCATAGGCACTTGACTCCTAAAGCCAAGAGAGAAGGAAGCCTGGCTAGTACTCCAGCTGGTGGCAGACCTTGGCATCATCCACATGGGGCTGGTTTTGGGTGCATGCAGAATGCGAGATTTTGGGGTTTAGGAAGGGTTCCATCCAGATTTCAGAAGAAGGCCTGGGAGGCGAGGCAGTGTGTCACTGAGAGAGCAGAGTGTGAAGCTGTGCTTGTAAAGCCAAAGGTGCAATGGAGACTCCAGAAGTTTGGAAAAGCCAGGAACATGGATCGTCTGAGGAAAACTGCAAGGAGGGAGTAGAGCCAGCCCCAGAGAGAAGCCATGGGGGCTACAATCACAGTGCCATAGAGGAGGAGCCACCCAAGCCATTTGGAGTTTACAATTTGCCACACATTGCTGGGGATTCTGGGTGGAACTGTGGCGTCTAATGTTTGCCCTGCTGGATTTTGGTTTTGCTTTGTTCCTGTTGCTTGTTATTCCCCTGTTTGTAACTTTTGAAATAGGAATGTTTATCTTGTACCATGGAATGTTGGAAGTGTTTAACATTTGTACAGGGGCTTGCAGATAAGAGTTTGCCTTAAATTTCGGAAGAGATTTTGGACTTGGACTTTTCAACAGTGCAGAAATGGTTATGTCTTTGACAACTCTTGGAGATGGACTAAATGCCTTTTGGGTAAAGAGACATGCATGATCTTTGTGGGCCAGGGGTTGAATGTTATGTTTTGAGACTAGATGTCCCCCTAAAGCCTCATGTGGTTGTAGGTGAGGCTTTTTCAGAGGTGGCCGGATCTAGAGCGTGTGAGGTTGGAATTGACTCATGGTGCAATACTAGGGTCAAGGGCATTGGAGAGTGAGTGCTACTCTCCTTACATAGTCTGGACAAGCTATAAGGGAGAGAAAGAGCTGTGGTCATCCCTTATTGTGTTGCTACCTTCTGACCACTATGAACTGTTTATCCTCTGTGATGCCACCCTGCTTTGGACCCAGCCTATTATGAACTGAAACCTCTATAAACTGTGAGCTAAATAAACATTTCCTCTAATTTTGGTTGTGAGGTATTTTGTCTCAGCAATGATAAGAGTAACAAACTATTTTTTCCTGATTTCTTTCTTGGCGAGTTCATTTTTGGTGTACAGAAACATTATTTTTGTGTTGATTTTGCATCTTGCTATAGTCCTGAATTTGCTTATCAATTATAGGATTCTTCTGTTGAAATATTTTGGTCATCTATGTATGGGATCATATCTGCAAATAATAGTAATTATCATTATTTCTTCCTCTCTTATATATATCCCCTTTGTCTTTCTCTTCCCTGATTTCTCTGGCTAATGTTGTGAGTACTATATTGAACAGGAGCGGTGATAATGGACATACTTGGCTTGCTTCTGATTTTATAGGGAAAGCTTTGGACTTTTCCCCATTTAATATGTTATTGGTAATACAAATGTATTTTATCAGATTGATATGTCTTTCTATACCTATTTTCTTTAAATTTTTATTATGAATAGATATTAGACTTTGCCAAAGGCTTTTTCTTCTTTTATTGAGATGATCATGTAGTTTTTTTTACCTTTATTATTTATTTACATTTACTTATTTTTGTATGTTGAACCATCCTTGCATCCCTGGGATGAAGGCTTCTTAATCATGATGTGTGATCTTTTTGGTGATGTATCACATTCTTTTGGGCAATATTTAGTTGAAGATTTTTGTGTCTATATTCATTAAAATGATTGGCCTGTGATTTTCTTTTCTTTTCTGTTTTTTTTATTTTATTTATTTTTTGGTCCTTCTCAGGGTAATAGAATCAGGGTAATGATAGCTTCTAGGAATGACCTTGGCAGTACTCCTTTCCTTTCAATTAAATTGAAGAGCTTAAGCAATATTAGCATTCGGTCATCTCTGAAGTTCTTGTAAGAGTCTTCCATGCTTTCAGATACTAACATAAAGATTTACTGTTCTAAAACAATGTCATTCAAGTGATTTCAGAGATTAGATTCTTACAGGAACAGGACTACGTCAGTTATAATGAGACACTTTGACAAACAAACAATTGGAATGATGTACATACATTCCTTTGGAAAACAGACTTGTTTTTTAGTGAAACTGTCAGGGACAGTTGAAGTCAGCTTGGCAACTGAAAAACCTTACCTAAGTCATCTTTTCAAAGTTGAAGTTTACAGACACATTTTTTTCTCAAATAGGATTTGGAGACCATAATATTCAACTCAAATTCTGTCTTATTTATTCTTTCTTTCATCAGGCATGTACTCATTTATCATGCACATGTTTACTGCACACTAATTCTGTATTAAATGTTATGCTTGGCTCTGAGGCTATGGTGGGGAGTAAGAAAGATATGATCCCTTGTCCTAGAGATGTCTGATTATAGGCTGTAGAGTGAGGCAGTTAAATAAGAAATTTTAATAAAATGTAGTTTGATATATAGGCTTATGTGGTAGCATATGGTAAACACACCTAACCCAGAAGCAAATTATTTAGAGAACACTTTTTGGAGTAATGGGCTTCTAAGCTGAGACACAGAAGCTGAGTGGAAAGCATAAAGAAGTAAGTGTTTTAATAAGATAGATCATATAAGAAGGTACCGAGATAAGAGAGAACAAATAGAACATTGAAAACTGACAAATTTATGGAACTCTTGCCTGAATACAGCATAAAGTGTGAGATAAGGGAAAGCAAGTAGACAGCTAGAAGTTCTAGGAGCGCTGAGGTTATAAAAGACTCCATGGGCCATGCTATAGAGTATAATATTTATTCCATTTTTTAAAAAAAGCCATCATTAATCTCCCCAACCCCTCTTTTGGGGTGGATCTAGGTTAAAACGAAGGGCATTGTGTGTGCTGGACAAGTGCTCTGCCACTGATTCTCAGATCTAGATTAGTTTTTCTTTATTTTCTTTTTCTTTGAGATGGGGCCTTGCTAGCACGTAGTTCAGGCTGGCTCTGAGCTCACTACATAGCCAAGACTGACCTCAAACTCAGAGTAATTCTTCTGCTTCCCCCACTCACATGCTGGGATTAAAGGTGTGTGCCATCACACTCAGTTTAAACTTTTAGTTTCATTTAGTTTTTGAGAAAAGATCTCTTTATGTAGTGCAGGTTAGCCTTGAATCAATCTGTACCCTAGGTTAGCCTTGGATTTATAATTCTCCTGCTTCAGCCCCAAGTGCTGGTTACAAGTGT